CAGTTCTCTCAGGTGTGAGGGGTTTGATCTCAGAGCTGAAGCCAGAGCAGCACAACCTTCATCTGTGATGCCACAATAACTCAACCTGTAGAGAACAATGACACACTCTTCACTCTCTCAGATCAGATCAGTTTAGCTGTGAGTCCATTAATAAAGAACAAATCAATGTGTGATGCATAATTTGACTGAGATTTAAAATGTCAAATAACAAAAATATAATAATAATAATAATTTAAAGCCTCATTCAAAAAGAGAAAAAATATATTTGTTGCACTGTCAGGATTTTTAACCAAATTGTCTTTCTTATGTAGACATTCATTCAAATCTGTTTAATCACACTATTCATTACACAGCTGAGCTTTATAGTGCTATTTTGATCTGTATTAATATGTGTGGAGTAGTGGTGTGTGTTTCTCCTCCATCACTCAAGGATAACAAAACCTGAGATCACCTACACTGTGAGATATTATTTATAGTTTATGTAAATTGTGGCAGATAGTACTCACACCTCAATGTATTGCAGTGCTTTACAAAACATATTACGTAATAACATATTTATATGATTCTATTCATTATAAACAGATGCTGCCTTCTAGTGTCCTTACTTGTGTCTATTCCTAAAGCCCCCCCCCGCTACACCTGCTCCTAATCACACTGAAGCTGCTGATCAGTAAAGCTGTTCTTGAAGCTGCAGGAAGAGACTCACGCTTTTGAGTTTGGGAACAATATGAGGTGCATGTGGTTGATTCACCAGAACATCTGATCAACATGGGGACAGCACATATAATTTTAATTAAATACATGTTAGACATTTTATTTCCATGTTTTGAATATTTTCTTTAATAGTGTGGCGATGACACTGTTTATTCTCTATTATAAATGTGTTTACTTGATTCCCCTGCTGTTGGGGGGAGGTGTCCAGGAGGGAAAGAGTGAGGAGGGAGGGGCAAGTGCGGGCGCGGTTTGTGGAAAGAAAAGTGAGTTGCTGTGAGCGGGGCGGGAAAAAAGTTAGTCAAGCTCTTTTTGCGTTTTGTTGTTTCTTTGGGAAGTTAAGACATACCCGCGTTTTAGATTGTAACGTTCAGGAAATAAACCACAGCCCATTGGGTGCTTGCAAACTGGATTCTCGTCTCCTGCCAGTTTCTCCTGGGAAAGTGCAAAATGTCACACTGGTGTCAGAAGTGGGATAATTACCACAGCTTTCTGTTCATGATTCCCAGAAGACAATGAAGAATAAACCGGTAAGATCGCTCCAGTTATCCACTGAGAAGTTAGAGCAAAGCCAGGGAGAGCCCCGGTATAGGCGGGAGCGTCATCCCGAGGGAGAGTGGGCCGTAATGGAGAGAGATGTGCTGATCAGCGCGCTAGTGCACACTAATCCTTTTCTGCCGCTGTTGTTGAATGAATATGATCAAGAATGTTGTCTTGAAACTAGACAAAAGTCCCCCGCACCCTGTTTTAGTATGTCTCGTGCTTTTGATGAACATATTTGCATCGTGAGCACTCCGATCCCAGGAGGCCGCGATCCCGAGTGCGTCCTGCCTGTTGACACGGAACTGGAAGTCAGAGCAGTCTCAGTCGCAAATGGTTAAGGTGAATGTATTCCAGAGGGAGCTTGTGGTTTGTTGGCGCTGTGGAAAAACAGGTCATTGCGCCGGGAATGTGCTACCCTGGATGTGGCTGTGGCCACGCCTCCGTCGGGAAATGGACAGGGGCCGGAGTAGAGGGAGGTGCTCTCAGCCCATCAGCCATTCCAGAACCTCCTAGTGGATCGTCTGTTGACTTGGTTAGTCCAGTAGCATGCTGCCGAATAGAGGCCAAAGTGGATGGATAGCCTTGTTGGATACTGGTTCTACAGTCACCATTATTCATCTTAAATATTTGACAAAAAGGGTCCTTCAGACCGCTCGATTTCCCCTGGTGACTGTCATGGGTGAGAAAGCAAAGTTGATGGGCCATTGTGAGGCAGAAATCTTGGTGGAGGGACACATCACAGTGATGTGGGTCTGGGCCGCTGAGATTCCGGAATGTTGTCTCTTGGGTATTGACTTCCTACTCCAGGCAGCTGCGGTTTTGGACTTGAGGGCAGCGATCCTAACGCTAGCTGGAAAGTGTTCGGTGCCCATTCACTTTAATTCTATAAGGCCCGGGTCCTCAGTCATGCTACGTGGGCCTTCCAAATCCTAACTCACAAGCCCAGGGAGTCCCAGGTGTAAGCTCTTACACTTTGTCACCAACATTACAGTCTGTAGAGACACCATTTTCCGGCTCTGCGGTCGGGCTTTCCACCGTTCCTCCACCTACTGTCTTTGATAGTTGGAACTGCAGTCAAGGTGGGGAGAGCCCAGTTTCAATGCAAGCTGCAAAGTCTGTCTGTGAGAGAAGTAGTGAGGGTTTGGAGGAACTCCAGAAGCAGAAATTGTGGCGAGTGATGGAACGCCATTATAACATCTTTGCCGCCTCAGCCAGTGATGTCGGGCAGACGAAGTTGGTACAGCATTGTATAAACACTGGGGATGCACCACCCATCCGGCAACGTGCACGATGGTTACCACCCATAAGGCAGTCGGCTGCAGATCACTGCCTAGAAGAGATGAAGGCTTCAGGAATTATAAAACCATCGGAAAGCCTGTGGGCCTCACCAGTTGTATTGGTCCCTAAGAAGGATGGTGGCTGGCGTTTTTGCATTGACTTCAGACGCCTAAATGAGGTGACTGTCAAGGTGTCACAGAATGCCAGGAGAGACAAGGTAAGATCCAGTTGCAGTTTATTGAAAGTAACAAAATAATCAAAACAGAACAAAAACATGGCAAAAGGTAATCCAAAACGCAAGGAACAGATAACACGGTAAACTATAGACAACTCAGACATAAGATCAGACACAAGATGACAAATACAAAATAGCAGCAATGACAGACAGAGTGAGCAAGGTATATATATCTGAGATAATGAGTAAATGACTAAAAGGAGATAATGATCAGAAATAATAAACAGGTGCTAATGATCAGACAGAATGACAGACAAGGGACTATGGGAAATGGAGTTCACAACATATAACACAAAAACAGGAGAGCGCCCTCAAGTGGCCAGTCCAGGGCACCACAACCAGACACTGTGACATTACCCCCCCTCTACGGAGCGGATACCAGACGCTCCATCAGAAAACATAAAAAGTTCAGGAGGGAGGTGGAACTGAGGCAGACCAGGGGGAGGGATGGCAGGCCAGGACCAAGCCAAGGAAGGGGTTCAGGGAACAGAGATAGACCAGGGTCTAAGAGCGGAACCAGCAGGGTGGACGGCCAAGGCGGGGCAGGCAGGACGAACCAGCAGGGCCCCAACCATACAGTAACCCCATCAGATAGCCAGGACGGAGCTGGAGGAATGAGCCAGTGAGGCTCCTGCCACACCAGAACCCAGGCGGGCAACCAGGGCGCAGCCGGAATCCTGTCAGGCAACATTGGTGGGACAGAAAACCTTCTCAGCAACTCAGGAGTACCTGAAAACAAGAGCAGAGAGAGTTTAGTATCAGCCTCAACGGCTGCAACAGGACAAGCCGATTGCTCCGCAACGGTCCCCGTTAGCTCCCGGACTGGAGCGGGCTCTGTGAGCTCCCAGACTGGAGTGGGCTCTATGAGCTTACGGACTGGTGCGGGCTCTGGACTGGACTCTGTGAGCTCCTGGACTGGAGCGGGCTACGGAGTGAGCTCTGTGAGCTCCCGGAGAGCGGGCCTACGGAGTGGGCTCTGTGAGCTCCCGGACTGGAGCGGGCTCTGGAGTGGGCTCTGTGAGCTCCCGGACTGGAGCGGGCTCTGGAGTGGGCTTTCCTGTCCTCCTTCTCACCCTCCGCCGCTTAGTGGGAGTCTGAAGGATAGAGGTGGTGGGAAAATCCCTGCAGAAGGGTTCTGACTGGCCTGGTATTGCCCACTGACTTCGACCCTGGAGATATCTGACGAAGCCCCAGAAGTCTAGGATCTCGAGTCGTTTCACCTCCCACTGGGGCAAAGGATTATCCAGACAGATGTTAAGGAGGTCCTTAAGTGCAGCCTCATTATAATCTAGCCCCACCGCCAACGTCCATCGCTGGGTCCAGGTGGTTCTCTTCGCTAGATCTGCGTAGCGAGTATTGGCATTTCCCCCTCAGTGCTGATGCAAGACCAAAGACTGCCTTCACGACAGGGACAGGCCTCTGGCAATTCAAGACTATGCCCTTTGGTCTTGGCCTGATTCAAATGTAGCATGGGCCATTGAACAGCGTAAGGACCCCGAGCTCCAGGTAGTCATCGACTGGGTGGAAGCTGGAAGGAGGCCTACGTGGGAAGAGGTCATGGCTTTTGGATCAGTGGTGAGGGGGCTGTGGTCTATGCGGGATGGCCTGGCATTGATTTCGGGAGTGTTATAGAGCGGATTCGTGGAACCTGTGACGGGCGTAACCAAGTGGCAGACAGTAGTGCCGAAGTTCTGTCACCGCCTGGTCCTGGAAGCAATGCATGGACAGCCGGGGGTAGGATATTTTGGAGTAAACAAAACATTAAAATGAGTTTGGCAAGAGTTCTATTGGCACACCTGTCATAGGGATGTGGAGTCCTACTGCCGTCGGTGTGATGCCTGCACTGCTAAAAAAGGGCCAACGGGCCAGTCCCATGCCCCGCTACAACAACGTCCGGTAGGCTGTCCCATGGATCGCGTGGCCGTGGATGTACTAGGACCGTTTCCACAGACCCCTCAAGGAAATCGGTTTGTGGTGGTCGCCAGAGGCCTATACTGTTCCTAACCAGGAGGCAGGGACAGTGGCAGATGTCCTGCTGGAAGGTATGTTTGCTCACTTTGGGGTTCCCACTGAAGTGCATACGGATCAGAGGAGGAACTTTGAGTCACATGTGTTCTCCAAGTTCTGCCGGCAGTTGGGCATCTGGAAGACAAGGACAACTCCCCTACACCCCCAGAGTGATGGGTTAGTAGAGAGGTACAATCGAACACTGGCCACCCAGCTGGCCCTGTGTGTGAGTCAGGATCAAAAAGACTGGGATCGTCAGTTGCCAATGGTCCTGCTTCCAAGTCAGAGTGCGGTGCAGGAGACCACTGGATGTACACCAGCTCTCCTCATGCTGGGCAGAGAACTGCGAACCCCATCTTCCTGTTGATGGGTCAACCTCCAGATGCACCGAGAGCCCCGCCCTGACTGGAGTATGCCCATCAGCTACAGGACCGGCTGCAGTCAGCCTATGAGTTTGCTCGTCGTCAGGCTTTGCAGGCAGGTGTTCGGTAAAAACGGGCATATGACCATCATTGTACGGGACGCGATTTTAATGCTGGAGAGCTGGTATGGGTTTATAGTCCGAAGGGGCAGAAGGGACGTTCACCTAAACTGGATTGTGCCTGGGTAGGACCCTGTTACGTAGTGAAGAGGCTTGGAGAGTTGGTTTACCGTGTTCGGAAAAGGCCTGGGGGACAGACGGTAGTTTTACACCGGGACAGGATGGCTCCATATATGGGAGAACGGCAACCCTTCAAGAGCAGAGGTCAACGGCAGATTGCTGGGGCGACCCACCCTGCGGATGGAGGAGCTGAACACGCAGCGCCGGACAAGGGGTGGGGAACCTCAGCGGGATGTGAAGAGGGTGACCCTTTGACCCGGGCTCCTGGGGGTGTTCTGGATACTCTCGGAGGAGCTGAACACGCAGCGCCGGGAGGGTCTGGGGTTCTTCTGGGTCAGTCTAGGTTGGGCGCACCTGAAGATCGCAAAATGAGCCCTGATCATCATTTGACTGGCAGTAGACATTGCAGTGGAGGCCGTCGTAGCAGCCAGGATGTGGAGTTCCGGCGGACTAACCCCTTGAGGCATGGGCTACCTGCCAGTGGCCCGCAGCAGACCACAAGAGCGAAGACTGGATCACGGCTTCGGCCCAGGGAGGGTGTGCCCCAGCGTTTTGTGGATTTCACCTTTCCTTGGGGACGAGGAAACCTGAGGAGGGGGCAGTGTGGCGATGACACTGTTTATTCTCTGTTATAAATGTGTTTACTTGATTCACCTGCTGTTGGCAGGAAGAGAAGAAAAGGAGGGGTGAGTCGGCTGTGAGTGGGGCGAAAAGCAAATTAGGCAAGCTCTTTCTGGCGTTTTGTTGTTTTTGGGAAGTTAAGATACCTCCTGATACCCGCGTTTTAGGTTGTAACGTTCAGGAAATAAATTACAGCCCGTTGGGTGCTTGCAAACCGAATTCTCGACTCCTGTCTGTTTCTCCTGGGAAAGTGCAAAACGTCACATTATGTATTGTTACATTTTGATGATGTTTTTGGGGGGGGGGAGGTGGTCGGGAGGGAAAGAGTGAGGAGGGAGGGGCAAACGCGGGCTCGGGTAGTGGAAAGAAAAGTGAGTTGGCCGTGAGCGGGGCAGAAAAAAAGTTAGTAAAGCTCTTTTTGTGTTTTGTTGTTCCTTTGGGAAGTTAAGATACCGCCTTATACCCGTGCTTTAGATTGTAACGTTCAGGAAATAAACCACAGCCCGTTGGGTGCTTGCAAATCGGATTCTCATCTCCTGTCTCTTTCTCCTAGGAAAGTGCAAAACGTCACAATATAAACAACTCTCTGAGCTAATATACAATGGAATAAATGAGAAGAAATGCAGATTTGTACTCGGGTTGGTCGCCTCAAAAGCCAACTGTCCTTACTCTCCCACTTATCTGACTGGTTTCTTTAGTAAATTTGTCTGATAACAGTCAAGCCTTTGCTAACAAGACGGGCTATTAGCACTTAGTGTAAACAGACAATCCGTTTAAAGGTGTTGATAATGCAGAAACCAGTTTAACATGAACACAGACGTCCACACATGAACAAGAAACAAAGCCACACAATGTTTTACTTTCTGTATCTCTGTATCTTGATTAACAGTTGTCTCATTCAATCAGTAGTAAGTATTTCATTCACAAACAATACCTAATTATTACATTGTCTGACTTATTGTGTTTTCAGACTTGTTTGGGTGATTTGTTTTTCACTTCACAAATATTTTACAGTGTATCATATATAATCTTACCACAGTATCTCCAGTTTACAGTGAGGATTTTGTAGTACATCAGAGAGCAGATTCACTGATTTTCCTAGATTGTTCATAGATAGATCCAGTTGTCTCAGGTGTGAGGGGTTTGATCTCAGAGCTGAAGCCAGAGCAGCACAACCTTCATCTGTGACGCCACAATAACTCAACCTGTAGAGAACAATGACACAGTGTGAATTGTAGTTCAAGTGTCTGGAATTTGTTATCAGGGACAGATTATGACACAGTGGTGCCCTGGGCACAGACCGATTAAAGGCTCCCCTCGTTTGAAATTTTGTTCCTTTTTATTCAAAATTTCCCCAAACTTGTTAACTATATCATAAAATATCACAATTCTCAAATATAAGTAAATACATTTTGCACCTTTATAGATCATGTTAGTTTATCTATAATGGGCTATGGGAAAAGTAGCCTATTATTAGTGTAATCTTTTAACTAGCCTATGCATAAAACCCGTCTTTTAACTTGTACTAGATATGGGTGTCATGTCATAGAATATTTTTAAGACGACTGACTTTGTATTTAAAGTAAATTTAATAAAAACATTGTAAGTTACTAATTATAACACTTTCATTGTTATTTCAATATTATAAAATAATATTAACTTCAGTCTAGACAGAGTTCAAGCACTATCAACAACTCCCATTATAATCACTGAAGCTGTTTATACTGTGAAATAAAAATCTTACTTACATCGTACACACATCTGCACTTTGTTTATGATGAGAGAATTCGCCAAAGAGCAGCATTCAGTCAGCGAGCGCGCACACTGAACAAAACACGGGCTTTTCAGCGATGACTAATCTGAATGCCTCTGATTGGCCTTTGCATTCATAAGCTCAACAGAATCCTGTGTGATTGGTTATAATGCGTAACACTGTAAAACGCGTCTGGCTCAGCGCCAGCCAAAGCACAAACACAGATTTGAATTTGGCAGCTGATTCTGTGCCGCACTGAACGTTCTAATCGTATCAAATATTTTAAAAAATATTATTCAGCCATTTTTGGTCTTTTGGAAGCTACATTCAAAATCCACTTTGCTTAAAATCCTGAGGGTGCATGGTTGAAATCACGTTCCTGGAGGAGCAGTATTTCGGCTGGGCCCCCCTCTGGTCTAGTGCCCTGGGCACGTGCGTTAATCCATCCCTGTTTGTTATTGCGGGCTTTTCAGCGATGACTAATCTGAATGCCTCTGATTGGCCTTTGCATTCATAAGCTCAACAGAATCCTGTGTGATTGGTTATAATGCGTAACACTGTAAAACGCGTCTGGCTCAGCGCCAGCCAAAGCACAAACACAGATTTGAATTTGGCAGCTGATTCTGTGCCGCACTGAACGTTCTAATCGTATCAAATATTTTAAAAAATATTATTCAGCCATTTTTGGTCTTTTGGAAGCTACATTCAAAATCCACTTTGCTTAAAATCCTGAGGGTGCATGGTTGAAATCACGTTCCTGGAGGAGCAGTATTTCGGCTGGGCCCCCCTCTGGTCTAGTGCCCTGGGCACGTGCGTTAATCCGTCCCTGTTTGTTATTGACTCTGGTCTCAGAGCAGGAGAGGAGATATAATGACAAGCATTTCCACAAACTGCTGCTGATAGAATGAGATTTATGCATGTTGAGATATTGTTTCATAGCGATATAAGGACAGATCTGTCTGGAGAAACTTGCACTTGCACCTCTAATAAACATCTACAGGAGGACAATCAAACTAGCAAAAGCAACTAAAGCTCCAGTAAATGTTTGGTGGCCAAAATTAGGAGCAAGAGCTCATGATGTGATGAAGATGAATGAAATTAACTTAATCTTCAGTCATTTGTGCTGAGATTTAGTGTGTCTAGTCAGAATTTACATTAAAGGACACATCTTACTGAAGACAAACACATGAGACTATCAGAGAGATGATCTTACAGCAGTATCTCCAGTTTACAGTGAGGATCCTCCAGTCCAGCACAGAGACGCTTCACACCCAAATCTCCTAGTTTATTCCCAGACAGATTCAGTTCTCTCAGGTGTGAGGGGTTTGATCTCAGAGCTGAAGCCAGAGCAGCACAACCTTCATCTGTGACGCCACAATCACTCAACCTGTAGAGAACAATGACACACTCTTCACTCTCTCAGATCAGATCAGTTTAGCAGTGAATCCATTAGTAAAGAGAAAGTACAAACACAAATAAGCAAAATAATTAGGAATTAACTCAGTAGAAAATAAACATGTTTGATGGATCATTGGACTGAGATCTAAAATGTCACAGAACAAAAACATGAACCTCATTTAGGAAAGATAAATAAAATTACTTTGTTGCACAATCTCAGAGGTTTAAAGGGGTCATGAACTGAGAAACCAAAATCCCCTTGATCTTTTGACATAAGAGGACACTGTACTATAAAAACATCCTGTAAGTTTCAGAACTCAAAACTTTGTCGTTAGTCTAAAAACAGCTTATATTGAAGCCAGTCTGACAAAACGACAGCTTGAGGAATGTTCTAATCTATAATGTAATAGTGTGGATAAGCACCACCTCCACAGAAGAAGATTGACATCGCTGCCTGTTTAGCTCCGCCCACTGATTCACACATACAGTGTTTACGAGAGAGACAAACATGCAGGTCTATGCAGAAACCAAATGATAAAGATGCTCTGAAGACAAGAAGATGCTGTTCAGTGCCAAGCTGTGGAAAAAACAGTCTTTGCATTGCCTTCCTTCTGATCCCAATGTTAGGAAGGAGTGAATTAACTTTTTTTTTAATGAAGATCCAGACCGCGTCAGTAAGAAATCTGTCTTTTCTTCACTTCAGCTAAACAAGGCAAAATTCGACGCAGGATTTTCAGAAAGACTGAAACTAAAAGACGATGTTGTGCTGACTATATTGGATCTGATGTGGCACCACGCAAGTGTGAGTAACTGTTTGTATTACGTGATCACTATTGCTTTGTCTCTTCTTACAGATCGTTTGATATGTATTGAGTTATTTACGTGTTTTTGACCTAAATCACAGCAGCGTCCATCTGTGAAGGATGAAGACTGTCAAACACACAACTATTAGCCAATCACAGCAGTGTGTGTTTACTTCTGAGTCTACAATCCTCCACATCTATTCAAACAGAGAGTTCTGATGAGGGGGTCAAAACAGGACAGAAAATAGCTTGTTACTTCTAAATTATGATGTTTTTTATGTAAAAATCTTGACAACATTATAAGTGGACCTCGGAGAACAGTACAAAATAAAAAAACAGAGGCAGTTCATGAACCCTTTAAAAATTACAATTACTTAAATTCCTTTTTTTGCAAAGACATTTTTAATTATTGACGAGCCCAAATAATGTATTCATATGCCACTTCTCTGTCTCTGAATCTAATGGTGTCACTGATTTGATATAAAACACATCAAAATACTGACCACTAAACTCTGGACAACATCTGCAGCACTGAAGATTTATGAGCTTTAATTTTGATTTTCTTCATGTTTAACAGTGAAGTGATTGTTCTCAATGATACTTACTGAACTGATCTGGACTCTTTAATCACAGGCAGCAGCTTCTGAAGAACTTCCATATTATCAGCCTTATTCTTTTCTTTAACAAATTTATCAAGACGAAACTCATTCAGTTCCTCTTCTGATGTCAACAACACAAAAGCTACAGCTGACCACTGAGATGAAGAGAGTTTGGCTTGCTTTATTCTTCCAGATTTCAGATACTGTTGTATTTCCTCCACTAGTGAATGATCACCCAGTTCATTCAGACAGTGGAACAGATTGATGGATTTCTCTGGAGAGTCAATGGTCCTGATCTTCTTCTTGATGTACTTAGCTGTTTTCTCATTGCTGTCAGATCTGCTTCTTTTCAGTGTCATTATTTGTTGAAGGAGAATCTGATGAGACTCCACTGACAAACCCAGAAGGAACCGCAGGAAAAGATCCAGATGTCCATTTTTACTCAGTAGAGCCTCATCCACAGCTCTCTGATGCAGCTCAGATAATGAAACATGCTCTGATGAATTGAGTTGAAACCGGTCCTTTACTTTAGACCGTAAACTCTGTTTGGTGATTGGCTCAAACACATTTATGTTGTGGTTTGTACAGGAGAGGTGCACATATAGAGCTGCTAGATGTTCCTGAATGCTCAGATGAACAAAGCAGAAGACTTTCCCCTGATACAAGCCAAACTCCTCTCTGAAGATCTGAGTGCACAATCCTGAGTACACTGATGCTTCTGTCACATCAATGCCACACTCTCTCAGGTCTTCCTCATAGAAGATCAGGTTGCCTTTCACAAGCTGCTGAAAAGCCACTTTCCCCAGTTTGAGGATCATGTCTTCATCTGTCACCTTCTTCTCATAGTCCTTCTCACATTTGATGTTGGTCTGAATGATCAGGAAGTGTGTGTACATTTGAGTGAGAGTCTTGGGAATCTCTCCACTCTCTGCTCGACTCAACATCTTCTCTAGAACAGCGGCTGAGATCCAGCAGAACACTGGGATGTGGCACATGATGTAGAGGCTCCTTGATGACTTCAGGTGTGAGATGATTGTGTTGGCCAGAATCTGATCACTGATTCTCTTCCTGAAGTATTCCTCCTTCTGTGGCT